TTAATGTGTGAACGATAGTATGTTATATTTGTTGTCAATATTTAATGTGTGAACGATAGTATGTTATATTTGTTGTCAATATTTAATGTGTGAACGATAGTATGTTCTATTTGTTGTCAATATTTAATGTGTGAACGATAGTATGTTCTATTTGCTGTCAATATTTAATGTGTGAACGATAGTATGTTCTATTTGTTGTCAATATTTAATGTGTGAACGATAGTATGTTCTATTTGTTGTTAATATTTAATGTGTGAACGATAGTATGTTCTATTTGTTGTCAATATTTAATGTGTGAACGATAGTATGTTCTATTTGTTGTCAATATTTAATGTGTGAACGATAGTATGTTCTATTTGTTGTCAATATTTAATGTGTGAACGATAGTATGTTCTATTTGTTGTCAATATTTAATGTGTGAACGATAGTATGTTCTATTTGCTGTCAATATTTAATGTGTGAACGATAATATGTTCTAGCGCATGACATTTCTATTATTTGTTCAACGAGCTTAAGTTTTATAAATAAAATAACTAGTAATAGTTAATAGCTGGATATTGTCCAATAAAAACTCCGATTTTTGTTGAAACACGTGTGTTATCCATCCTTTTGAAAAATCTCCAATCATTGTTTTTTGCACGTGTGACGTAACTTTCACTCGTGACGTTATTAGTAGAGTTGTTTAATATTAGCCTTACTCGTGACGTTACGTAAAGATCTAAAGGTTTATATCCACATATAAATCTCTTGGTTTTCACATTGTTCCATATTTTAAGTTGGTTTTCTTTATGTAATGATCATTTTAAAGAAATTACTACTTTAGTTAATCTTGTTGATATTTAATGTAGTCATCTGTTATTAAATGACACCCTTGTTATCTTTTCTCATAGTTAGGCTTAAAGAAATGCGAGAATACGACTATTGGTATACCAGGCCGGGTAAAAGGAATATCGGGTGGGGAAAAAAAACGTCTAGCTTTCGCTTCAGAGGTAAGATTTGGGAATTTGTTAAACACGTAGCCCTGTTAATGTTGAACAGATACGGCATTATCGGATAGTTTGGGTTAGATCATTTTTCTGTATGTCAGTTTTGTTTGAGAGTTTTACACAAATGTCAAATAAGTATATATATATATAATTAACTAAGTATATATATATATAATTGTATGTTTATTTCAAACGTCTGATAAAATTTTGATTCTGAAATATGAAACTCAAGATATGTTTCTTTTGTCCTTCACGTGGTAATCTAATCCTGTTCACTGAGGTTGGAACAGGACAAACGGAACCTAGAGCTTGGATTGTCCTTCACGTGGTAATCTAATCCTGTTCACTGAGGTTGGAACAGGACAAACGGAACCTAGAGCTTGGATTGTCCTTCACGTGGTAATCTAATCCTGTTCACTGAGGTTGGAACTGGACAGACGGAACCCAGAACTTATAAGTCTATCCAATCATTAGGTAGTTCACAAAAGGTTCCCATCCAGAGTGGTAAGACCCTCAGAGCTCCTCGCCATGGGGGAATATAATGAGTGATTCTTAAAGATGAAACTGCAAAACCCCAAAGATGTTAGGCATATTAAAGAAGGTTACCTCATCGTTCTGTTGTACAATTACTGTCATTAAAAAGTCAGTCTTCCATTGACCAATAAGAAATGGTCAAATGTATTAATTTTTGTAATAAAATGATGTATCAACGTAATCTATTTAAATAAGGTAATAATATTTATTTGTCTTCTCTGAAAACTCGCGGACATCTGGTTTTAAACAAAAGATTTTGGTTTTGGATATTGGACAGTATCCTATTTGTTTATTTAAATGTCAGTCAGAATTCGTGCATTAAAAGACAAGTTTACTGTGAGAAGTCCCAAACTTTGTATATTGCTACAAGCCCTGCTTACTAATTTATTGAATGTGAAACGTCAAATAAGAAACAGAATTTATCAATCTCAGTTAACGTGTAATAAATATATTTATCGTATTTTGGTTAGCATACAATCAAAAGCTACATTTATCACATTTGACTGTTATATGACAGGAAAAAGATATGGTATACAACAAGTTTATATAATACACATACTGACTATTGCGATAAACCTCCCACAAAGTTCATTAAAGTGGCCACTGTGGCCCTAAATGTGGGTCAAAATCACCCAAAATCTGAAACGCAAGAGTACACGTGCAGGGATTAAACCAAGAATGTTCTACTCTCTCTCTTGTAGTATGCAGTAAACGATAAAATATTCTTGATCTCAGGGGTAATTTTTACTGACAATTTTCGTATTTACTATCCTTCCTCGAAGGGAGCTTCAGGTTTTATAACGCTAAAATTCGGGGCTCGATCCCCGTAGTGGAGATAGCATGTTGCTTAGATTTTGAGAAAAAACAAACAAACAGTATACTTAAACTTCTAATAATAAACAACATGACATTTTCTAGGCTTGGAAGTTTTACTTTTCCTTGAGCCTCATATTTCAGAAACAGA